TGTTCGATATTTATTCGCTGGCATATCTCTGAGATAATGAACAGTATCGAGGTGGAAATTACACCGCTGCCGGCTAACAGCCTCTGAATCGGAAATCGATTGAACAGCTGTTGTGTGTCTAACATTGAGCACAACAAGTCTGGTCTCACGTTGAATTGCATCAGCTAACGGAAAATTCGTTTAAACCAAGTTCAACTTTCTTCTTCAAACATAGTGAACGCCTAAGAGGTTGGACAGCTGAATTTAAAAAAAAAACGAGCAGGACAAACGAATCATTGATATACGTGCAGATTAACTAGTACACCAAGAGTGTGCTTTTGAGTGAACACTGCTCGCAATATTGAGTTTTCGTTTCCACAAACAATAAACACTAGGCTTCCAATTAGGCCCGATGCCTTTCCATTTTGTACTTTGTCACTCAATCTCTGTACACAGTGAGCATCGCAGCGAGCAGCCAAGTCCGCTTCACTGAGTAGTATCCCGCTGTACGAGGCTGATCATGATGATGAACACTTCCTACAGACTTGTAATCAATTATCTTTCTCCATCTCTCATTTCAGTGGAAAAGTAGGATCAACTCAACTCAATTCAACATAAAAGTGTGAAAGATGCGCGTTGGACCTGGCCAAACTTATAACACCATACACTTTAAAGCGTCATATAGAACGATGAGTATTCGAGTCATTCAGGAGAGTTTTCAAACTTGCATGGATCTTTAGTCAGCAAATTGTCAACTGTGAATGAATATCGATATCGATATGCTTGCATGAGGATAGAACTAACTCTGAAACGGAATTTATAAAAGAACTTGAATAGAAACGAGAGAGAGGACTATCATAATAAACATCCTTTCCCGTGGTTTGTGACCCCGAGAAGCGAAACAGTATCCGCTGTCATTCGTCAAAGAGTGTCACGCCGAACTCACCCGTGTGAATGCGTTTGTGCCGATTCATGTTGGGCCAGTCGTTGAATTGGCGACCACAATAGCAGCATTGATACGGTTTCTCCCCCGTGTGAATACGTCGATGCTTTTCCAAATAGCGTAGAATACGGAACTCTTTATCACAATCTCTGCATCGATAAGGTCCACTCCCACCGGGGGTGGATTTGGACGAGGAAGAGCTGGCCAATTCGGTTGCCCCGGTCCCGTCTAATGTGACGGTGGTTGTTGTGGTTGTGCCGGAACCGCGAACACCGCCCAACTTCACGATCGGACTACTACTGACCATGGTGGGACCGGAGCTGCCCAGTGAGGAGGAATGCGACATGAATGGGAGTAGCGGAGGGAGTTGGTTGAATGCGAGAGAGGCCAGTTCGGTCGGAGTGGACACGGTGAGAGTGCCACCGGCCAGACACGCATCTAGACTGTTCACGGGGAGGGGAGTGCGAGCTTCGAGTGGTTCCGGTTTCATTTCCACGGTCTCATCAGCCGTCTACAATTCACAAAATGATGGAGGGGGCGGGGGAGGGGAGGGTGACGGTGAACGAATGCAATCAGAACAATAAAATTTTACAATTCGATATATGAAAACAAAATGAATACCGCGATAAACGGCTGAAAAAAGAAGATGGAGGGAACAGAACAATTCCCAAAGTGTGACTAAAAATCGATTCGATGCAGCTGCACCTGAGACCAGCCCCTCACTACGATCTGTCCACCTATGGTGAAACAGACTCTGTTTCTTAGCGGATGAGATTCTTCACGTGTTTAGAGGAGGCTCCGGATCTCAGGCGAAGCGGTGAACAAGGAAAAAATTTCCTTCTTACACTTTGTGCAAAGAATCATCAAGTCTAACTGACTGACCTAGAAGTGATTACACCTCTCCAACTGACATAAATATTAGGTCATAAAATCAGATCTCCGCTGGTATCTCGAGTGTAACGCTTGAAAACCGAGTGCTTGTATCTCGCGGGACATTTTCGGTTCATGGCGTTTTGTTTGCTTTGCCTTGCAGATTTAACTTCAATCCCGACCCACGGAAGACCTGTCTGCCAGTGTTTCCGCACCAACCCGAGTCCCGCATCCCTACCGCCGTTCCCCGCCGTCATTCGTCGCCTGCAAAGCCTCGTATCGTCTTCCGCTGTGAGAATACGAGCCGAGGGACATCCTCTCGCGCAGATCCGTTCACTCCGTTACACCCTTGTTGAGTGACTGGTAACATCTATTGGGGAGTTTTTCAACACGTGTTTGCCATCCAGGACAATGTCAGACTGTTGGAGGTTAGTCCGGCGAACAGTAATCCTCAAGACAGGCTGGACAAAGCACAATACCCAGCACCTGTGTTGCTGTAACGATTGATGACTCCTCATATGATGACCCCCAACAAATCAGGTCCATATATACATTATGCTGTTGTCAATATCGTGCGTTCTGTGGATCAACCACAACCCTACTGCTGTCGGTTTGGTCATACGTTTCTATGTCTCCAACCAACCAGTTGCAGATTATTTCGGAACCCCACCTGGAAGGCGCAAGAAACTGACTTTACCTAATAGCTGTGCATTTTTTTCATGCCTCGTCTTCATGTCACCTGTCGACCTCCACGGGGTTTCCTGCAACCCGGATCGGCTATGGCAAGTAAGGCGTGGGATGGTAGACCATAGCTGGGCATGCGCAATGTGTCCTAACCGGCAAGGCCTACTAATCTGAATTCGAATTTATCCCTGATAAACACTCAGTTATGCGGGGACTGATTTCATCTCATCTCTTCGAGTGCACTTTGAATTGTGCTACCCTTGCGTGTGGATGAAGCACATTCTAAAATGTTACTTAATGCAGTTGAAAACAAATGCAGATGGAGGGCGATCTTGACAAGCAAAAATCACCGGGGAAAATTTGGGTGAGTGAATTTAGACCCAACTACTACTCCCTCGTATATCGACCATATCGGTGTTTGTCGTTAAGCCTGCAAGTGGAACAGCGATGGAAGGAAATTACTGTCAATAGACGTGCGTTGCGTAGAAAATAAACTGTCTTAGTTTAATGATAACCGGTATTTTGTGCTGATGTCTCAATTCAATAACACATCAATCAGTCCCCTCCCCCCCCCCCCCCCGNTTTCCAGGTCACATCTGAGAAATTGGGACTGCAGATTATTGTCCCTAAGACCGCTACTACTGCTGCTTCTGTTCAACAGGTAGAAATGTGATGTGGAAAAAACTGAGCGGCAAACAGTAAACGGTAATGGGTGTGGTGTTCCCTTGATCACGTCGACAAAAACTGGCACGAGTTCCGTGACAGGATAGGCGTGATAGCCAGCAAGGGTTGATAACACTAGACACGCATGCGCAAACACACACACAAACATGTTTGGAAGAAGAGAGAATGAGTGAAAAACACGCGCCTATCGGATCAAGCTAGTCGGATGAACCGGTTAACGATAAATGAACCTCTTGTTGAGAGAATTTAATATCTAGCTAGCGTTAAAATTTAGGAACTTTAAGCTATTCTCGTATCGCTCACTGTTTCAAGGACTAAACATTGATGATCAGGAAAATTCACACCAAACATGTGAGTCATGACTGGCAGTTTCACTTTCTCTTATTTCTCACTGCAATTCATCACATTTGTGGTCCTCGGTATGGTGTCAGTTTCCCGCATCAGATTTTGGCATAAAGTTGGATCCGTGGTAGAACTTCTGGGAATATGGTAAAAATGATATCCAAAACCTTGATACTTACGGATTGTTAAACGCACATTATCTATTATACAACGCGATATCGCGGGCGAGGGCGTGAACCTCTGACTGATAGGTTACGGAAATCAACAAGCAGAGCTCTGAATTGGTAAAGAGCCTCCGAAATCCTCAGTATGGTCTGAGATGAGTGTCTTGGGTTGGGGATGGTCATCCTACCCTTGGACCTCGCGAAATGCTCCTATAAGATCAAGACTGTCACGACGAGACTGCACTTTGACGTGGTGTGATGGCTTGCTTGCCTACATGACCCTCCGAGATACACAGGATGGTTTTTCACAACCGTAGATTCAATCATGCCTGAAAGGTCAACGGGAAGAGGCCAGACAAAGCTCAGTCTCACAAAGCCAGCTGTCTGGGTACCTCCTGGCTTCTTTCTTCTATCCACACCCGCCTCTGGAGAGGTCACGCCAGCAAATAAACACGGTGAGGAGCATTTTACCGGTCAAAAAACCGCTAGATGGACGTAGAAGCGGGGTATCTGGGGCTTCCCCTCGACGGTGGGAGAATTATTCGCACTTCATTGGATCGCTATCACCCGCCCAAGCTCGGCAGCCCCCAGCCAAAAAGGTGCTGTCCCGTCCACATTCCGCTTATCTCATTGGGTGCATGAGACTAAGGGACAATCCCCAATAGTGGACCGATAATCAACGCACCAGCGAACAAAACATTGAACCGAAAACCGAAGGCCTTGTGCGACAGGTCTCCTGAAGCTTCCACAAGAGTGCATGGGTCACACGCCCGCACTGAATCTATGCCCCACGGCATTTTGGGTCAGACTTTAGAGTCGAAGGCTCCGGTTAGGGTTCTCAAAGAAAAACCCCTTTGTCGGCGTGGGCTGCCGCGAAGTATTTCGTTCCTTAAAGTCTTAGGCACCCATTTGGAACACCATCTTTCCCATCTGTTTAGTTCTTCTTAATCCCAAATGATCCCAGATGCATCCTGTTTACGAGACCCATCGGACATTACTCAGCGTTTAACTAATAAGGTCAACCACCCAAAGGATATCAGATTTTTGAAAACAAAATCCCCTTTTCACTTAGCTGCACTCAATATCCGCAAACTACCAGATCGGTCAACAAGCTGCCTTGGCTAGAACCCTTGAAACTTTCAATTTAGATGTATGCTTTCTCCGAAACACGCATACAAGACCCTACTACCATTATCTGCCTGTGTTCTCCTGATCCAACCTCAACCTCTCGCTTTGCCCGTCGTGTATTCAACATCCGAAGTTTGCGATATTGCTGGTATCGGGATTGCGCCAAGTGCCAAGGTTGAGCGCTTGCTTTTTGATTGAGTGGCAGTCAGTAGCCGACTGTGCGCTGTACGTCTCAACGGTTCAGCACGGGTCAACAGCTACAGAAAGAGGCGTCGATACTTTTTCCTCGTATCAGCTAATGCACCTGAAATCAAGGATCTTTCTCAATTACTCCAGAGTGTTCGATCAACGGACGTCGTAGTAGTCGCCGGAGACTTCAATGCTCAAGTGGGATCCCTGGACGAATCAGAAAGGCTTCTTGGTGGACCACACGCAATCCCAGCCAAATGAACGGACAACGGAGAGCATCTACTTCAACTCTGCGCGGACTACGGATTGTTCCTGTCAAAGACGAACTTCTCGCACAAGAAACGACATCGCCTTACATGGAAACCGTCAACCTTTTCACAGCGCTGGACCCAGATCGACCACATCGCCATCAATTACCGCTGGAGGGGATCAATTGAAGACTGCCGCTCTTACTGGTCAACAGCTGTGGATACATATCACGTCTTGTTACGAACCAAATTCTCCTTACGCCTCGCAAACAATCGCAAAAAAGTCAGCGACAACGGATACCCAAGATGCGGTGTCCGCGATGGCTGCAAATCAGAATTCGAAGCGGAGCTCTTCGATCGCCTGTCAGTTCATGTTCATCCAAATGGTGAGCCAAAAGACAGCAACCAAAACCGGCGCACTATAGTGCACGGTTAATGGTTGTATAAACTGAAACTGACAAGATCCAGGGTCTCAGATAGCCAATTCTGCTGAGGAAGCCCCACTCACTGCCTTCTCGTGCCGAAAGTACTTTCCCATCAAAGTGAGCGGACGAAAGGCCGACATCTGGGGCTATACAGGGGGTTTGGGTGAACTAGCACTGATCGTTTAAATAAGGGAGTTGGTCAAAAACCCTGATTTCAAACCAACCAAAAACAAATGTACGAACCAAATTCAATCACATCTTCCTCGTTGCGGCAGTGGTCGTCGACTCGATTGGGTATCGAGGTGTACTTGGCACTTTGGACATCTTACCCCGTTCAACGGA